GTAAATGCCTTGATTATTTATATCTTAACGCTGTCCAGTGTCATATATTCTGTCTTTAGCTTCAGGATTTTGGCCTCCTTAAATCAAGACTTCTGGAATTATCTTTGGCAACTATATGCTTAGCAAAAACCTCTTGATTGTTTTGGCTGCCTTGTGTCACATAGCAACAGGTAGTCGCGACATCCAGCAGTTTCCTTATAGTGGGTTGCTTTCTTTATGACAATCAATTTATTTGGCCCAGCTGTCAGGCACTCGACATCCCAATTAACAACTGGAAATAAAACCTGAACCGCAGGAAGGAAGAAAACTCAGATTTTCCTAAACAAACATTTAATGAAAACATTTAGCCTATTCTCTTACTCATCTTTGTTTTTCCCATTAAACCTACATATAAATTTGGAAAACAATATACCTACAGAGATTTCCCCACATAGAAAACTTAAATGTGGTATTTGACTGGGCCACATGCCAAACACCCTCCCCCACTTAAGAAGTTAGCATAAGTTAATTTAAAACTGGAAATGAAGCAGCCAAAATTGGTGACTAGTTTCCTCTTATTAATTCAATAAAAAGTCAGAAAGGGCTTACACTACTGACCTCAATTTCCAATCTCAAGGAAATAAGTAACAGAGAGGAAAAAGCCTTTGATTCTGTATCTTGGTGATTCCTTGGGTTAAAAGTGAAAGAAAGACAAAATGTATTATAGTGTATGGGACATACTTTTCTCAACCAGCTTTTCCTGCCCAAAAGGATTTTTCCAAACATGACAAAAGACTTTAAAGGAAAATTCACAAGAAGGAGGCAACACAACAGAGGTACAAACCAACAAGAATGCTTGCAGCAAAACTTTGGGGTGGCTGCTGAGGTGTACAAGGGGGGCCCTGAATAACTTGCAGAGATGCTTTGGGACATATACTTACTATTCTTGAATGTAGAGGAGCAGGAATGATCAGGGGAAAGAGTCTGAAGGTACAAGTTCTTTACTTGGATGTCTTCTGGGCCAAGTACATTAAAATAAGTAAAATTACAATTTGAGGAAAGAGAAGTTTGTTTTTGTTTTTTTAAGCTTTTTATTGTGAATTGAGTATAGGTTTACAGAGCAGATCATCTGTTTTATACTCAGCAAATCATATGCATTGTTTCATTACAATGACTGCAATCCCCTCTACTTACCATCAGTTAACAACATTTTACCTCTATTCATTTTAACTATTGCATTCCTCCCTGTGTCTCCCTCTACCTTTATCTTTCCTCTGCTAACCTCCCTCTTGTTGTATAGTGCCTGCCCTGTCACATGCATCTATTCTCCATTATGAGTCGGAACCAACTTGAGGGCACTTAACAACAACAACCCTCTAGTGCATGAATAATTTTCTATCTCCCCTGCCCCCATTAACCATCACAGATCGTTTCCTTTATCAAGAAGACCTTTTCTTAATGTTTTACAACATTGGTGTCATACAATGTTTGTCCTTTTGTGATTGACTAATTTCACTCAGCATAATGTCCTCCAGGTGTGAGGAGGTGTTTCACAGATTCATCCGTTATTCTTCAGCATAGTGTATGTGCCAAAGTTTGTTTAACCATTCTTCTGTTGATAGGCAATTAGGCTGTCTCCATCTGTTTGTAGACCGCTTATTGAAGGTTCCCGTTTTCTTATCCATTCTGCTCTCTCAGTCTCTTGACTGGTGCATTTAATCCATTTACAATCAGTATAATTATTGATAGATTTGAATTGATTGCTGTCAATTTATTTTGTGATTTCTTTTGTTTTTGTTTTTTGTAACTCTGCTGGTTTCTTTGTTCCACATAATTTTCTTCACTGAGTTCATTTTGTTTGTGGTTGTGTAAATGTTTACTAAATCTTTCTGATTAGGAAGTTGATTCTTAATATCTGCTTTCTTGCAAGAGCACTGATTCACCAGAAATGCTAATATCCACTTAAGACCAATTGAAGAACAAGTCCTCATGTCATTGTGGCTTAGCAATAAATAGACATTTGAGTGTAAGGCACACACCTATTCTTAGGACTAACTTAGACACTAACAGTCCCTCCCTTGCAGTTTACTTGCTCACAGCAAGTTAGTGGAGCCAGGACTAAGCTTCACGTGCGCATCACTTATTGAGTTGATACCATTGCCCTGGAGTTCCTGGTGTGGCTCTGTGGGTTAATGTGCTGAACTGCAAGGGCGGTTTGAACTGCAAGGGCAGCTGTTCAAGCTCAGCAGCTGCTCCTCAGGGTCACTACGGGTCAGAACCAAGTTGATGGCACTTAACAACAGCCATTGCCCTAGATTATTTCTGAAAACACCACAATTGTCTAGAGGGCTGTACTGTCATGCCAATTTCTTTGTACTACTTGAGTTTATTGCATGTAAAATGTTGAGCGACGTTTTTGGGACACACACACACAATTGTCTTAGTCTTCAAACTGTTTTCCTTTCCACACCAAGATGCAGAGGCATTCTACCTCCACTTTCAAAATATGACTACGCCATCCATTCCTCTACTATTGAAACCCACACCACATGTGCGCAATAAAAGTCAACACAAAACACTTAGATGGGCCAATGTTTTCCACAAATGTCATTAAATGTGCATAGCTAGGAAATTTATTACTATCTAGGAAATTATTTCACATTTTAGAGTTATAGGTCCTATCACTTAAAAGGAATAAGGCACAATGTTACCAACTGCTCTAAATAGCAAGGTCAGTGGTTCAAACTCACCAGCCACTCCTTGGAAACCCTATACAGGGTCGCTGAAAGTCAGAACCAACTCCACGGCACTTAAAAACAACAAATAATAATACTAATGAGGTATGCGCACCTTAGAATAATCAGTCCATTGAGATCAAAAGGGCAACCTTTACCCAAGGACAAAGTTTGGAAGGGTTCAGAAAAGAGAAGGAACGGAAGCTGGAAACAGGGAGGACGTGGGTTATATAAGTGACATTATTACATCTAGGGACTGCAATCACTGGGTATGAACTGCTGAAAATAAAACTGATGATTTGCTCTGTAAACCCCTTCATCCAATTCACAACTAAAAAAAAAAAAAGGTTTTGCTTTTTAAAAATATCATTGCTGTCACTTGATGTGTGGAGTCCCTAGGTGGTAACATGGTTAACACACTCTATTGCCAACTACAAGATTGGAAGTTCCAATCCACTCAGCGGTGCCTCAGAAGAAAAGACTGGTGGATCTATCTACTTCTGAAAAATGAGCTTCTGAAAACCCTGTGGAGCACAGTGCTATTAGGCACACATGGGGTTACCGTAACCAGAATCCACTCCACAAGAAATGGTTCACCTTACGTTTGTATCTTATTTCTTGGTGTAACTCCACGTACCACCCCCCTCACAATACTGAGGCTCAGCAAACTCTGAAATAGAAAATTTATATGCTAGAATTTTATCATCACAAGATAAAGTCATGGCAATGTCAAAGTCAGTGCTCTGGGAGAAGTCAGAGAGGTTGTGTGACCCCTTTGGACTGAACAGAAGAACAACAGATGGATTATTCTAGGTAACTGAGACCTGTCCTCGTAGGAGGGAGGTATACTAAAATGTGTTGGCTTCCATGATCTAAAACTTCATCTTTGAACAATCCTTCTAGACCTCCCATTTGTATACTATACTACCACTGCAGAGTTTAGAAAAATGGGACTGAAATAAGGACTTCAAAATTGTATTATATTTTATATATATCAAATTACGATCCCCTGAAGTTCCAATATGGTGTTGTTGTTGTTGTTTTGTTGTTGTTGTTGTTTTGGATGGTGTACACAAAAACACTCAGGAATATGTAATCATTAAACAACCAAAGGGCACATTCTGCAAGCCTGCCCCCTGACCACCAACACACAACCTTTCTCTTTCCATGATCCAGTATGTTTTGAATTAACAACTAAGGAAATAATTTTTAACCCCATCAATTGGCAAATGCAGGAATTTCAATTCTTCAGATATAATCATTTTAAGTAAATCGCTATTAATATCTTACTTTCAAACCTACGGGTCAACCAGAACCACAGTCAAAGTTGCTAATGAAGTTACAGACCAGAGGGAACGCATTCCTCTAATGCATTTTTGCTCTCATCCTCGAAGCACAGCAAGTTTGCTCTGGATTCATGTAAGCATTTTAAATATAGTTTCTAAAAATTTCCTGTAAGTGGCAATGGACTACTGATGTGATATGGCTTGACAAGTATTATTAGTGATATAACCTTTCAGCCCATATTCTGATAGTTATACTTTTACATTAAAAAGATTTTAATTATATTTCTGCCTGTTCCTTATAGCAATGGATCAGATTGGAGACTAGGCAGATAAGAATCCAATATACACTCATTTCATATTTTAAGCCATTTTTCTTAGATTTGATAGAATGACTGAGATTATAATTGTTGTTAGGTGCCATCGAGTCAGTTCCAACTGATAGCAAACCTATGTAAAGAATTATCAATTCATCTTGAGAACACAGATTAATTATTATAATATTCTATTATGAAATTTTCTATTCATAAAATGTCTCATTGCAACTCTTGGTAATTATTTCAAGTGCCAGCCATCTGAGTTGCTTATTAAATTAAAAAAAAAATGTATTCTTAATGGTCCTTCAGAACATTGTATAAATATATAAAAAACACAAGGGTCTCTATTAAGAAAGAATATATATGTTGATCAATTAGCAGAAGTGCTTTGGATTGTCATTAGAACCCACAAAGTTATGACTTACATCATCTTAGAAAGGAGCAGTGTTTTCTAGTAATCTGTAGTATTATCCAGGAAAAGAAGGCTATGTTTAATAAGATAGGTACACAGCTATTGTACACATACAACATAGGGGTTTAACCCAAGTAGCCAGCTCATTCCTGAATTCACTGCAATAATGGGATATTGCCACCCTCGAGTTAATTATAACCCAAGTCAGAAGCAGCCCAGTTGGCTTACAAACGAAATGACCAGAATGTGCATACTTTAGAATAAAATCAAGTACCTGATAGTTTCATGAGAAGTTCAGATGCTGCTTTGACTGAAATATCCCGCCTTAGCACATTGCCCTTCCCCTCCTGGGGCTGAAGTGTATCCTCAGGGATGCTTGGGACTGAAGCTTCAGAGTCTGGACTGAACACATAGCTGGACCGAGGCAAGGTTGCACTTACGGCTTCCTCTTCCTTAGGCTCTTCTTTCACTTTAAAATTAAGATTCATGGGCTCCTTCTGATTTGCAGCTATCAAAAGAGAAAAGGATTATGTATATATATATATATATACACACACACACACACATTGATATATACATAGATACACACATATATGTGTGTATGTACATGGGGTCCTGGGGTGGCATTGTAGGAGAAGCACTGTATTGCTATCCACAAGGTTGATGGTTCAAACCCACCAGCCACTCCTCAGAAACCCTACACAGGGTCCCTAGGAGTTGGAACTGACTGGACAATATGTAAAAAGCCGTTCTCCCCCTCTAAGCTGCCCTGACACTTAATGAAGTATACAATGCACAATCACATGGTGCTAAACAGCAGGAAAGGACCACAACTGGCCGGACACCAGGCATAAACATGTAAGTCATGCCGTAAGTACAGAGCTCTCAAGAGTGTGGGTTTCTGAATCTTTTGAACTATAACAATTTAAGGTGTGATGTCTCTACAATGTCTTTGGGCATTTCCTCTTTGGTTTCTCCAAATGTCTTCTTTCCTGTGTATGCTGCTGACTTGACTTCCTTACTTATTAACGCTAATAGGTAGGACAGTTCTCCCTACCTAGTCCTATTAATGAAGAATGCTTTCAAGTAATTATTCTCTCATAAAATATTGAATGTGACTAATATGAGTCAAAGGCAATACACAAAGCAAAAAACTAGGGTGTGGTGGGTAAGGTGAGGATGGAGAATTAATTTGCCAAAGAGAAAAACTCAGACTACATCTATAACACTCTGTCTTTACTCTAAACTGACCCCACCAACTCACAAACAAAGTGTTGTGCACTTCACCTGGTGGTCACGGTGACAGGATCTACTCCAGTCTAAGCTACTGCCGAATCCACGATGGTCATGATATTTTACACACAACTTTTTATTTTCGAATAATTAAAGATTTACAGTAAAATTGCAAAGATGGTTCAAAGAGTTTCCACAAACCCATATACATTAACCCCCCAAATCCAAACCCATTGCTATCAATTTGCCGTGGTTCTGACTCATAGTAAACCAGCAGAACAAAGTAGAACTTCTGCTTAGAGTTTCTGACACTGTAAATCTTTATTGGAGCAAGCAGCCTCATCTTTCTCAGAATGGCTAGTGGGTTTGAACTCCTAGCCTATTATGGGATGGTGCAGTCACACTGTGCCAGGTCTTCTTCACACACTGTACCTGGGAACAACCAAGAAAGGAGAGACAGGCGTCTTCCTCCCACCTTTACTGATATCCTGCTCTACCTTAAGGATCCACGCAGTAGGAACTGTTTTAGGTTGGTTATATTGAATGTGTTGGTGTCTTGAGCAAGGGGATCTTATCCTAAATAGGACTTGTAATAATAATTTATTAGAATGAATCTTACACCTAGTCCAGCTACCAACAAAAATGAAGATGAAAATAAATTCCAAGGCAAACCCCTATCACCTCAGTCCACCCATCCAGATTCATTTCACCTAAGGACTCACAAATTCACACAGACCAGAATATCTTAAAACTGGACCGCAGAGAGCTAAAATAATGTGGGCAAGTTTTACTACCAGAAAGATGCAGATCTGGGACCAGAACCCAGGGCCCTGAGCTGCCCATCCTGTGTCCTTTGTCTGCCTCCACCACACTGCTGCTCCTCCCCTGCTCCCTGTATTGTAACAAAGCTTGACTGCATCATGAACTTCAAGCCTTTGCTCAAACACCTTCTCTACCGGGACCATCTCCACAGTACTTCCAAGTTCCCTCACCTTGCTCTAGTCTTCTTATTTTCTCAAGCATAATTATCACCTAACATTGAGTCACTTCCAATTATAGTAACCCCATGCACAATATGGCGTCCTGGTGTGGCACTGTGGGTTAATGTGCCAGACTGCAAAGCCATTTGAATTGCACAGTTCGCAGTTCAAGCTCACCAGCTGCTCCTCAGAAACCCTATACAGGGTCGCTATGGGTAGGAACCAACTCAATGGCACTAAACAACAACAACAATATGCACAACAGGACAAAACACTGCCTGGTCCTGAGCCATCCTCATAATTACTGTTATGTTTGAGCCCACTGTTGAAGCCACTCATTGAGGCAAAGCTTCTAGTATCACAGCAACAACCAGACCACCACAGTGTGACAAACTGACAAATGAGTGGTGATCACCTAATAACAGACTACAATTATTTATCATGTTCATAATTTATGGACTGCCCCTCCAACTGAAAGGCAGGCTTCATAAAGGCAATGGTATTCGTTTCTTGTTGATGTACCTTGAGTGTCCAGAATAGTGCCTGGCACATCTATGAATGAAAATAGTATGCTGGCACACAAATTAGGGACATCTGATAGTGCTCCAATATCATCTTCAGTTGGCAAGAACTTACAAAACAAAACAAAAAGCAGTTGTGTACATCATTTTCCACACACGGTGACCCCCATGTGTGTCAGAGTACAGTTGTGCTCCATGAGGTTTTCAGTGATTGAGTTTTTCCAGATAGACCTTTCTGCTAAAGGCCTCTTGGTAGACTTGAACGACCAACTTTTCAGTCAGCAGCTGAGCACCATCCAGGGACTCCTTGCAAGTACTCTGCTCTGCTGTTAGTTGTTCAGTCAAATGTTGTTGTTGTTGTTGTTGTTAGATACCATCAAGTCAGTACCTACTCATAGCAACCCTATGCAAACAGAATGAAACACTTCCCAGTCCTGGGCCAACCTCACTATTTTTGTCATGCTTGAGCCCATTGATGCTGCCACCTTCCCAATCCAACTCGCTGGGGGTCTTCCTCTTTTTCTCTGACCCTCCACCTTACCAAACATGATATCCTTCCCCAGTGACTGCTGCCTCCTGACAATATGTCTGAAGTATGAGAGATGAAGTTTGGCCATCTTGGCCTGCAAGGAGCACTCTGGCTACACTTCTTCCAAAACAGATCTATTGTTTTTCTTGGCAGCCCATGGCACTTTCAATATTCTTCTCCAACTCCATAAATCAAAAGCATCAATTCTTCTATGGTCTTCCTTATTCACTGTCCACCTTTCGCATGCATATGACGTTATTGAAAATACCATGGCTTGGGTCAGGCGCACCTTAGTCCTCAAGCTGACATCTTTGCTCTTCAACACTTTAAAAAGGTCTTCTGCAGCAGATTTGCCTAATGCATAATGTCATTTGATTTCTTGACTACTGCTTCTGTGAGTGTTGATAGTTGATCTAGGAAGAATGAAGTCCTTGACAACTTCAATCTTTTCTCCATTGATAAGAATATTGTTTATTGGTCCAGTGGTGAAGATTTTTGTTTTCTTTACATTGAGATGCAATCCATACCAAAGGCTGTGCTCTTTAATCTTCATCAGTAAATGTTTTAAGTCCTCTTCACTTAAAGCAAAGTTATATCATCTGCATATCGAAGGTTGTTAATGAGTCTTCCTCCAATCCTGATGCCACGTTTTTCTTCATAGAACCCAGCTTCTCAGATTATTCACTCAGCATACAGGTTCAATAAGTATGGTGAAAGAATACAACTTTGTCGCACACCTTTCTTAATTTTAAACCATTCAGTGTTTCCATGTTCTGTTCGAACAACTGCATCTTGGTCCAGGTACAGATTCCTCATGAGCACAATTAAGTGTTCCGGAATACTCATACTTCGCAATGTTTTCCATAGCTTGTCATGATTCACACAATCGAAAGCCCTCGTGTAGTCAATAAATCACAGGTAAACATCTTTCTGATATTCTATGCTTTCAGCCAAGATCCATCGAACATCAGCAATGATATCATCCTTCGTTCTATGGCCTCTTCTGAATCCGGCTTGAACCTCTGGGATTTCTCTGTCAATATATGCCTGTAGCCGTTTCTGTATTGCCTTTATTAAAACTTTACCCACATGGGATATCAAAGACATTGTCCGATGATTTCCACATTCTGTTGGGTCACCTCTCTTTGGAATGGGCACAAATACGGATCTCTTCCAATCAGTTGGCCAGATCGTCGTTATCCAAATTTCTTTGCGGCAGAGATGAGTGAGTGCCTCCTGTGCTGCCTCACTTTCTTGAAAGATTTGAATTTTTATTCTATCAATTTCTGGTGCCTTGTTCTTTGCAGTTCCTTCAATGCACACCTTGGACTTCCTCCTTCAGTATCATTGGCTCTTGATCATATGCTATCACTTAGGTGTCCTGAATAATCCCTTAGGCTCTGCATTACTATAAAATCACATATAAGCACTGCAAACCTAGCCCTTTGGAAACAATGCCATCAGAGTCTGAACCAAAGGAAATAATAATGACAGTCTTCAGCTCAACCCTCAGTAGGTATTTCTGACCTCTACCAGGAAGGCTTTGTTTATTTATCACGTTTCCCCACTTTGTACCTTTCAATCTCTTCCTGGGGCTTCTGCTGGCCACCTCCTACTACAGTTTACTCTCTATCTAAGACTTTCCTCCAGAGCCCTTCATAAATCCTTCCCAAGAACATCCTTAGTCATGACAGAGTAATTAAATAGTGTATGCTTATGAAGTCAGAGATTTCCACTTCTTTGGGAAAGAATTAATGTAAAGTGAGTGGCTATACATTATAAAAATGCTTCAGTGCTGTGTCTTTTATCTCAGTTTCAAAATTTTATGTTCTGAGAACTTAGAGTAAGCACCAATTTCTAGAAAAGGTAACAATTAAACAGATGCTGTCTGAACGTGTAAGTGGTTTTTAGAAACATTAGTTAGAAAAAAGTTCCATAAGACTTAGGGATAACATAGTAATATAAATATACTATTATAATTTATTATATACTATTATATATTGTTGCAGACCGTGTAGAAGTTCGAGGCTCACTGGGCCCGAGTGTCGCAGGCTGCAGGCTCTGAGGAACAGATCTAGCCACTTGGCAGTTAATAGCAAATTGTTTTTCATCTTAGTGTTCAGTTATATTTATTAATTCCAAACATGAGCC